GAAACTGTATCGGGTCCATAAACTGCACAAATTTTATTGGCGGCTTGAGATGCATTTTTGCCTTTATCGCAGTAGTACTGTAAAATATGCCGTATTTTTTCTATATTTTGCTCCATGCTTGCGACGCTATAACTCACGAACGACGTAAAAGAAACGACAATCAATCAAACACGTATTAGCGCGTGAAATGAGCTTTCCAAAAAGGTATTTCATGACCCGATGCGACGAATAAAACTAGAACTACGCGCTCTCAGCAAGACTTTTTTGACAACCTAATATATCTGTATAATTTTTCATTATGATAACTCCAAGATTGGCCGAGATTTTAAGCAAAAAATAACATTGAAGTTCGAAAATCTTTATATTAGGTATATGGGGGCGCAGGGTTGCATTAACTCGATTCAACTCATTTTCAATACATTGAAATACTATTGTCGGGAAAGGATTGTGTTTGAATTTCTATTGCGTATATCACACATTGACCGATGTTTTCCGTCAATAGTCAACTATAGATATTTTGGTGTCCACATATTCGGTGCTTAAAGTCTTGAAGAGGTTTGGTCAAACGGTGGCATACTTTAAAATAATCATTATTTGTGTATTCCCATTTTGGATTGTGTTTTAAATCATTTGCTGTTTTAATAAACATTTTATATTAAGATGGTTTAGAAATGATTACCCTTTCGAAAATATAATATTCCAGCAACATTAGGTTAGGACGGTTTTTCAGAATTTCGTGTTATTTGGAAAGTTGAATGGAGCTATTCCACAATGAGAAGGAAACTTGTAGAACACTCAATTCGTGAGATATCGTCGTGCCAAAAAAATATTGAGCTCTTTTACAGAAACTTAAGAGATTCTTTGATTCCCCTTTCAGATTTGCCGTTTGTGTAGCATCATCATCAACAACGGTGAGTACCAAAAATACTCGCTGATTGATACAAAGTTATCGGTGTAATTTTGCGAGCTATATTATAACAGTTCTGAAATTATTAGTATTATGCCATCCCTAGAGCCTCAGTACTAAAATTGCTTATATAATGAGTAAATGTACATATTGGCAATACTGTAACATATTTTGTCTGGCAGCTTAGGAAAACTGTAAAATTTAAAATTTCCATTGCTTTAAACTCAATGCAATAATCTCTTGTTTACTCAATTTTATGAGAGAAAACTGCACAATAGAGCGAAAAAACACAAAATTCAATTTGTACTCATTCAAATTGTGTTGTCAGCAGAAAAGCGTCTTAAAAATTATAGCTGCGTGGATGGAGAGGTCAACAGTAGCGTACTCGACCATCACAACTCCACAAAATTGACGGTGAGAGGCCAATAAAAAACTGCATTGAGTGAGTAAAATGCGAACGTTGCGATTAAAGTGAAGTACACGTTTACACCTTTTGGCTACATACATATAACTACTTTTATTTGAATGAGTGCACTTCACCTAGGTGATTCTGAACAATTTTTATTGGAAATCGTGCGACTAAAGCAAATTTATTAGATTGCTGATTGAATTACCAGCGCGAATTGTGTGAACAAGCGAGCTGTCCGGTCACATTGAGGAGTAGAAGGGGAAGCTCAATAAAAAATTTAGTTGAAAAGAAAGTGTGTTGCAATTATAAGTAAGTTCGCAAGTTCTATTAAATTCACTGTTATCATTTTTATAGCCAGTGTTTTCAAAAGCAGAGATATGTGCTTATGTAAAGCTATCAATTGAATTAAATTCTTTATTACAACATGCATATATGTATATTACTTTTGAAATATATCATATGAAATAATCATATTAAATTGCAAACGTTTTAGGTCAAAACAAAACTATCTTAAGTTAGGTGAGAACAAGTTAAAACAATATAGTTTTTATTAAACAAGTGCGAATGTTATATTACGACATGTGTTTTTTAGTTTTGTTTTCGTGTGCGGAATCGTTGCGAATGTTGGAAAAGGCTA